AAAGCTTAACAGTCAAACAGTGTCACAGAAGAAGGTTAAACTTGTAAGACCTGTCAACCTCTGAACATTTTTTATGTGTAGCATAATGTTAGCAACAGAAGCGGATGCACTTTTGTTTCTGGCAAGTAGTATTATCGCCACCTAGTGGTGTGGAGTGTGAATGCCAATAGTGGTATTTGGAGCATTCAAAAATTAAAACAGTCAAACGCAAACAATTGAGTCCAAGATGCTGCAATATATATATATATATATATATATATTGCTTAACAGTGAAGGTATGGGTTTTATTACATACTTGATATCTATATATTATTTTCTAAAATCCAGTCTTTGTAAAAGGACTAATCAGCTGTTGGGTTTCCAGTTGTCCGTGTATATGTCCACAACGGAGCCTAATCAAAGCACATAAAACACTCTGACGACAGACTTTTCCAGCTTTCCTGCAGAGCTTTATCTGCAGTGGATTGCTCATTTTATTCCTATATCTGTTAATCTTTTTACTGGGAACAAGGCGACCCAGTTCATTTACTGTATTATTGTGGGGTCTTTATCTCAGAACATAAAGCGCCTAGAGGCAAATTGAATTGAATTAAATTAAGATCAGCAGCATACTTTTGAGACTGAGAGTTGTTAAATATGTGAAAATGAACCAGCTCTGTAATGTGTTTGACATCATCATACAGGTCACCAAAACTAGTTACAGCATGAGTGCAAAAACTGAAAAAGATGTTGACATTATTTCTAAGTGAACCAGAGGTCTAGTGCTTATAAAGCAAGAACTACAGATCTTATTATTGCAGTAAGGGAATGAAATTTATCTGGCTTTATTTGAAAACAAAAAAAACGACTTTGGTTACTAAATAGTTCTAAACAAACACACACACTATGTGTTTGCCAATTGCACAGAGTCTGTTTCTTAAGGAAAAAAGAAACACTTTTAAGCTATTTATGTTCATGCAGTCTACATGTCTACAAGTTCTGACTCATTTGTTGCAGGGTGAACTCGTCACAGTGTTATGTATCACTTAAGTATCACTTCTCTGTTCCAGATGTCAGCATCATACACTCTGGGATTGAATTAGTTAGGTCTGAAGTCACTTAGTTCTATGACATAAAGAACAATTTTCTGTCAAGATTTTTTTATAAATACTTGATAAAGAGATAGTAGAAAATACTTCTTAACAAAAAAATTCTCTTGTTAGAAAGTCTAACAAAAAGATACAGACAACACTGAAGAGTTACTGTAAGTGTAACATAGTTTAAAAAGGTTCAAGTTAATCCCGCTAAATGGGACAATAGCACCACCTACTGTCACAAATGTCACCCTACATTGACTAAGAAGGGCAAAGAATTGTGGGAGGATTCACGCTGGTTGTCCACGAAAATTAACCATTCTATGTTGTTGCCCTTCATCTTAATAATTATAAAAGGGGTTGTTGCTACAAAAGAAATTTAAAAACTGGATTATAGATGGCAGACAGTTGGTGTCATAAGCCCCGCCCTCTGTACAAAGATGGTCGCTCACAGTGGACATAGATGCTTCTTTCACTCCTCTTTCAAACCATCTGTCCTCTCTGTCCAAAATGTGAACACTGGCGTCCTCGAAAGAGTGACCTTTGACCTTTAGATGCAGATGGACAGCTGAGTCTTGTCCTGTGGAGGTGGCTCTTCTATGTTGTGCCATGCGCTTGTGAAGTGGCTGTTTGGTCTCTCCAATAAAATATAGGCAAAAAAATCATAGGTAAGTCTTGAGGACTAAGGGACATGGTTAACTGTCAACAGGGGATTAAAAATATTAATGAAAAATGAATACATGATATATTAGCAAAACAGCTGGTTGAACTTTGCACATTTGGTCAGATTTTAAAGAGAAGTGGTGGTGGTTGAGCCTGCAACTGATCCACATGCATTTATTTAAAAATTGGATTTGACATTCCTCTACATCATCAATGCTTTCTGTGTCAAAGGTGTTATTGAAAACTCTTCCACACTGCAGGAGAAAACTTATCTGTTATGATGACACAGGCATGTCTGTTTTGCCCTGTTTCCACATAGAGTGCGTCTCCTAACTGATTAGTTAAAAGGGATGATCTGATATCGTCGTGTTGGTGTTGTTCCCAGATCATCATGAAAATGTTGTTCCAGGTTCAACATTGCAAGTGACCAATCACATTATTGTGACGTTATTCTTTTGCGCACCAACCCATTCATGCATTTATGAAATTCCAATGTTGCAAGGACAATATCAATTCTGCTTAGCGTTTATTAAAGGGTCAGGGTTAGGGTCTGTTGATCGGCGGACAAAGGCGGTTTCTCGCAGCTTAAGTACAGTTTTTTGTTTTACGCCGGTTTTTCCCGAAGTCGCAAAAGTATGACATCACAACATTCTGATTGGTCACTTGCAATGTTGATCCTGGAACAACCTTTAGTATGATGATCTGGGAACAACACCAACACGAGGATATCAGATCGTGCAGTTAAAAGCACAACCAGTGTTAGCTTATCCAGCTAATCTCTCATCAAACGAGTGGAGGTTTATCCACATTCCATAGGCTGGAAGCTTTATGACAGAACACTGTTTGATATGAAGAGAGAGATCACTTTCACTTTGATACAGTTTAAATTAGATATGGAAAGTAGACACCTATTAACGCTAATTTACACCATGGAGCCCCACTGTAAAACAAAACTGTCATAGATTTAACAGTTATGAAGCTGGATTTAACTTTGTTCCAGTACAGAATGTAGAACTCTCTAGACTGGCTGGTTGGTGGTTGCAGTTAATAGACTTACATTAGTCTATGTTAGCCAGCTAGTGACAGAACTAGTAACTCAGTGAATATGGGAACTAAAACTAAAGAGCAGAACATTTTAAAATACCTTAAATGATACCATGAAAGATCAAATGGCAACCTGTGATGAACCTAAAAGCTTGGAGGAAATTATAACTTTGGCCATTTTGGCCAATACACAGGGAATGACACTACAAGTCCCGACCAACTTCCAGTTATAGCCCCATGTTTTTTACAGTTCCCCAGCTGCTGACACTGAAGACCCAAAGCAGTTGGGGAGAGCTAACTTAAAATCAGAGGAACTGATTATATTTGCGTATATTGTGGTTAGCCAAGGCATTTTATCACCACCAGCCTGTTGCATCCCAATGATTAAAGATGGGGAAACTGGCAGGCAGGGTCAAAACTTCCTCACATTCAACGTTCTGTCAACATAGGGCATGATGATTTGAGGCCTGAACAAAACTGTCTGGCCAAACAACTAATTCCCCAGCTTAGAACCTCTGGATTTACCCATGGTTGTCACAGCACATAATGGTCAATATTTTACCACGAGAACTCACCAGACAGTGCCAGCTCAGCTGATTCCTTCACCTAACCACTATAAAGTGATCAGATTCTTTGTGTTCCTATCTACCCACAATCCCAATTTTCTGTGGCTCTCATGGTTAGAAAAATCCTCACATAAACTGAGCAAAAAGGCACAATTACAGATGGAGTCACTTCTGTTTCTCACATTGTGCACAGCCTACCTCGCCACCTACTCCGTGTGCTGTTGAGCCACATGTCATGTAACTCAGACACTTACCCCTGAATAACAGGTTAATTCCTGAAAATAGAAACCTAAATGTGTTAAACGATTTCTTCTTTGGCTCTCGGAGGAGGCGGACGCACTTTTTCTCCTCTCCCTTATCTTCCCTGCTTATGTCCTTGTCTAGTCTCGTGGTTTTTTTTGTATTTTCCCTGGAACACTCTCTCACAGTCTGTTCTTTAAAACCTAAAAGAGGAATTATGGATTGGATCAACTGGTCCCTAAATGCAATTGACACCCCTTTCTCAACGAGAAGTTTGGGCTCGGGTGAGCCTGAGTGCTGAAGATATCTACCTATTCGGAACCATGGTATCAGGGTTCTGGCGGATCAGAGCTGGCTTGGCCCTGACTTATCGAAGAATTAAGAAAGCGGAACCAGCTGTTCAAACCCCCACAAGGCTGCCCGCTGGGATTGGAACGATGGGAGAGGCGTGAGTTTCTCAAAATGGGCTCATTGAGTCAGCACGGATAAGATCTTGGAGAGGCTACGGCTGCTGTGAATACTCAGAATAAGATCTCTGACTGCAGACTGGATACATCTCAGAAGGGCTAGCTCGGAATAACATCTCTAGGCGCAAATTGGATGACATCTCGGGGAGGCACACTGTCGTGAGTTCTCAGAAATCGGCTCCTTGAGCACAAGAAATGACAACATCACAGAACGCAAGTATGGCGAAGCTCGCGGCTCTCCAACGGGAGATTGAGAGACCAGTGTTGGACTGTAGAACTGCTTTGAAATTCATATGAGCTGTTCGCACTAAAGTAAAAAAATAACATCACTTCATGCGGATACCCTCTCGGCGCCAGCTACAAGGCCGGAGCTGAACAAAACACCCTGATAACGACTGTGTTTAGTCTGTTCCTTCTCGTTCCATGCAAGGCCACCTGGGTTGGCTGGACGACTGTTTACTTAGCCTGGCAGGGCGAAGGACACTGTCTCAGCTGAACTCTGGACACGCACACACATACATATACTGATACTGATAAGCACTCACCAACGCATCACCCTCCCTACCCCGGATCCAACGCCACCTCTAACGCTTACCTCCCCTCTGATGTGGACATCAGGTCAGCTGGAGGCGCAGTCGAAGATTGCAGCGGTCCCAGATCAGATGTACACACTGGAACTCTTTCCCATGTTGCTGTCTGTGTTTATTGTGCTATGGTGTGTTGATATCTGTGCATTCCTGTATTATTCTTTTGTGTTACACATTTCAATGTTTTTTTCCTCGCTACCTAGCCTGACCTGTCTCCCCAATGTGATGTTTGTATTGTATGTACGGTCGGCAAGGTCTGTCATCTCGGTTGTGGGCAAAAGACCTGCAACTGACAAATAAAGGCTATCTCATCTCATCTCATGTGTTTTAATGTGACGAATAACCACAGCAGAAACATACTGTAGTGCTGATAATCATGCTTTATTAAAGAAATAACTGGAGGAAAGACTCAAGGAGGGTGCGAAAATAGTCAAAACTCAACTCAAACTTCAATCAAACCCTTAAACTGCAGGGCGACATGTGGGACTTGTTGTTGAATGCAGCAGTAGGTGGTTTCATACATCTGCTTTGCCGCACCCACCTTGACTGACAGGTGAACTTCTAAAAACTAGCACACAAACACACTGCATACCTCCGAGAGACAGCTCTGTTTCTGCAAATAAGCACAAGACGGACTCTTATTCAAAGTGATTGGCCAGGTTGGTGGTACAAGTGAAAAGTCTCATCAGTGGTTGTTTGCCAGATGCAGAGCACAAAATATAAAAGAAACACTTGTGCTCAGGGAGTGCAGGCCGCTCGCACTCTGAGCACGTCAGTGAAATAGCAGTACGACAGAATCAGTCAGAGTGCGAGGTCCAGTCATCCTGCTTACATGAGGGTAAATGCAAACAGCATTCAGGATCTCACACTGCTTTCACAATGCTAATGCACTGCTCTCTAAAGCAGTGTATTCATAGTTTTGTCTCTGATTGAGTTAACATCAACAGGGAGCCTCTCTACCTGTTGAGGCAATCTTAAGACTTCAACTTATCGTTGAGGCACAAAGTTTAGTTTCTTCGTTTAACAGAGTATTCGTTCCTGTTGGAACTTTCTCCTGTTAAACCATATACAGTTTCATTTTGTTTTAGTTAATATTATTGTCATAAATAACAATGCATACACTTCCCATAACCGGTAACTTCGGCTATATACATTATGTACATGTCACAGAATAATGGATCAAAAATCCTAAGTCACAGTTATCCAATATGGTACATTTTATAACACCTTTAGACTTTAGTCTAGTTTGGCAAAAATTAATGTCAAGATAGGTACAAAAATAGTTCATATTTACAAGAACAGAAATCCAGATCTTTATCAAGTAGATTCTTTTGCTTGATTAAATAAAAACGCTTGAGAAAAGGAAAAAGGGGAAGTTTTGAAGAGTTGGTTTTTTTTTTCCTTACACCGATCGAATACTAATGTGAACAGTTGCCGTATCAGATCCCAGCTCATTTGACAGTTTGAGGGTGTAGCTTCCAGCATCCTCCTCCTTCACCCCGGTGATAATGAGCGTGGTCAAGTCCTCAGTGGTCTCAATATGGAAGCGTCCGGCAGCGGTCAACTCAATCGTTTTGCCGTCGTGCGACCACTCAATGTGTCTGGCATCACCAGAGAAGGCACAGGCGACTGTCAGGACTTTGCCTGGCTCAATGCTGATGTCCTCTGGCAGAGCTTCAATCCTTGGAGCAGAACCTGAAACCCATGGTATATGCACAGAACAAGAACCTTTTTTCATTTAGAGTAAGGCAGGCACACAATTTCACAACAGACACTCCAAAAGTTGATTCTGTTCATCTGGACGTAGTGTTTTCTGGGAGAACCGTTTCGTCATCATCCAGGTGACGTCTTCAGTCTCAGCTGACTGCAGGTTTCAATTTTATAAACAGGACATTTGCATAATGACTGAAACCAGCCCACGGAAGGAACAATGGACTGTGAGGTCAGTTCCTTAATCATAATTGTGCAAATTCTCATGACCATTGATCAACAACCACTGACCAAAACCCACTGATCAATGGCCATGAGTACCATTCAGAGAGTTGGGGAATGGCTGCAATCACAGCATTGTAAGATGGCGAAAGATGTACCCTTAGGCCCCCTCCTCGATTCAGAGATGGTCTTTCCCTTTTTACGTAAATGGCCTCCTTAACTCCGCCCTCAAACCAGCGTTCTTCCCTGTCCAGGATGTTACATCCTCATCCTTGAAAGGTTTCAGTTATTATGCAAATGTGCTGTTTATAAGATTGGGGAAACCTGCAGTCAGCTGAGACTGAAGACGTCACCTGATGATGACGAAACGTTTCTCCCAGAAAACGCTACGTCCAGATGAACAGAATCAACTTTTGGAGATTTATTTTCCTGGATGATTGAGAATGCATCAAGACGTTTACAACAGACACAAACAAAAAAATGTTATGACAAAAAAGCATGTTTTGCTAATTGAGCTTAATTCAGCATCTTTATGAGGTTTCATTTCAAAAGAAGGATAATTGTGTTGCTGGTGGATGCGAGGAAGCTAAGTACAGTTTTACAGATTACCAAGAGTCTTATGATCTTACCAAGAGCTCTAAGGGATCCCTCCATGTGGGAGGCCATCTCCATGAGGCTACTGGAGCTCATGGCATATGTCTCAGATGACACGGAGGACATGCTGGACATGGACATGGTCTCAAACTTCATTTCAGCTGCCATGCTGCTGAAGGAGCGGGAATCCGACATGGATGACATCACTGCCTGCTGGGAAGTAGAAGAAAAGGCAGACGACTCCTCCATTGTATGGATTTCTTTCTTCATCATCACCGATGAACTCAAGGATGACGATGACTCCTTTTGACTCATCAATACTGATCCTGGCAGAAGTAACGATAACACACATGTCATTGTTAAGAATGACTTCAAAGTCAGGGCTCTGTTATAATTTATTTAAAGCATGAAACTGGATCAGATTTTCTGGAGGGTGATAGAAAAAGCCTACCTTGAAGTACCAGCTGCTGTTCACAATAAGCTGTAATCTTCTTGCGAATTGACTGAAACACTTGTCCAGTGAAGTTGAAAGAAGACTTGGATACTCCTCCTTCTGATTTCATCTCACAGGTGTACTCTCCCTGATCACCGTCTGTTAAATTATGGATCAAAAGGCTGCAAGAACCCTCAGAATAGTGCATCTCTAGGCGACTGCTTTGTGAAAGCCTCCTCCCATTCACATACCATACCACCTCTCTGACGGAGCTCTCACAAACACAGGACATCCTCACTGACCCCTCACAGGCTTCTGCTGTTAGCTGACTCATGACCTTGGGGGGTTTGGGGATTGGGGATTTTACGGTGGGTGGAGATACAACTCTCTTGGGGGACATGGTGGGAGGAGGAGACTTCATTCTGGGAGGTGATTTGATCCCTTCAGGTTCAGGGGACTTCAGTGCCCTTGGTGATTTGATGCCTGTTGGTTCTGGGGACTTGATGCCTTTTGGTGTTTTGAGTCCAGGAGGTTCTGGGGACTTGACACCTCTTGGCACTTTGATTCCTGTAGGTTCTGGAGATTTGATACCCTTGGGTGATTTTACTTCCTCAGATTCCAGCGACTTTCCAGTCCCCAGGGTCTTAGTTGGCGGTGGTGACTTGAGTCGTGGCTCAGGAGATTTTAGACCTCGTGGTGACTTAAGTCCCTCAGGCTCAGGAGATTTGACACCTGGAGTCGGTGATTTTAAGCTCGGTGCAGGAGAAGGTGCAGTTGGCTCAGGAGACTTCATGCTCTTAGGAGACTTAATCCCCTCGGGTTCAGGAGACTTCACACTTGGTGTTGGTGACTTCACACTCGGAGCAGGAGATGTTGCACTTGGTTCAGGAGATTTTATACTTGAAGCTGGTGATGTAACTGAAGGCTCAATGGATTTGGTGCTAGGTTCTGGTGACTTCACACTGGGAACAGCAGAGGTTGGGGAGGGAATAGGGGATGTGACTGAAGGTGCAGGAGACTTTACACTGGGAGTGGGTGACTTCACGGATGGCTCAGGGGGTTTGACTATTTTAACTTCCTGCTTGGGGGTTGGTCTATGGATGGTTAACGTAAAATGAGCTTCCTGTCTGCCTGCTGAATTCTCTACCACTACTGTGTAACTGCCCTCATGGGAGGCTGTCACAGAGGAGATTTCCAAACTGGATTTATACTGAGTTGTGGTGACCTGAATGTGGTGTGATGAGACAATGGTTCTGCTCTCATGTATCCATGTCACAGTGGGTGCAGGCTCACCATCAATATCACAGGTAAATCTGACAGTCTCGCCCTCCTCAACTGTCACAGACTGAGGCTTAGTGAGGATTCTAGCTGGAAGAGAAAGTTTTGCCTTCTGGACAGAAACTTCCTCATCACCAGCAGTGGTAGATGATTTCAGTTTAGCTTCAGATATGGCGTGTTTCCCACTCAGAGAAAATTTGTCAGATGAATAAGAGGAACTAGATGACAGGTATTCAGCAGAAGCATACTTGATAGATGAGTCATACCTCTCAGCAGAGGAGTACCTTTCAGAGGAGGCGCCATATCTCTCATGTGTGAATACCTCATGTGTTTCGGTTAACTTAGATTTGGTTTCTTCTACCGCAAAGTGGGTCTGTGAAGCATAGCCAGCTTTGAATTGGGAGATGTGGTAGTGGTCTGTTCGAGTGACTTCAGGGACATATGCTTTGGGAGCTTCCTCATCCTTGCGGCGAGAAGAGAAAGTTGTGTAGCTACCACCTGACACCTCCAGGGTAGCATAGTCTGAAGCCTCTCCCTTAGAGTTGGAACATACACAGCGATACGTGCCACTATCCTCTTCCTGACACTCCAGAATAGTGATGGTCAAGACACCAGTCATGTTGGTAAAGATGAATTTCTCACTGGATTCAGAGATTGCAGTTCCATTGTGGAACCACGTGATCTCGGCCTCTGGTTTAGCTTGTACATTTAGGGTGAATTTTGTATCTTGACCAACTGGGATACGATGAGAACGCATCCTAACAGTGACACGCGGGGCATGGTCCAAACTGAAAGGTGACTGACTGACCAACTGATACTTCCTTTCAGATTTCAAAGCAGCCTTTCTGGCCTCGTAACGGGACATGATATCAAAACGGGCAGACCGCTCAAACCTCGAGGAGGAGCGTGAAGACCTTTCAACTGACTTGATGGGGCTGGGGGAACGTGGTCGGGTCCTTTCTGGGGTAGGGGACCTCCTCCCCACAATCTCTCCCTCTACTTCCACAGGATGCCTAGCATGTGGTTGTCTTATCAGTTCTGAAACTGGACGCATTAGCTCGATGTAAGTGGGTGACAGTGACCTTCTCCTCCTCATATACTGAGAGATGGTACGTTTCTTCTTTGTCTCAGCAACCTCAACAATTTCATGTCTACCTTCCAGCCTTCTTTCCTCACGCTCCATGGCACGTCGCTCAATGCGTACAGGGCTGCCAGCAGGTGAGGCAGAAAAGCCAAGCTCCAGTTCATCCTCCAACATCATTCCTTCTTCCTCCTCTGTTCTCATCAGCTCCTCATCGCTAAGGTCTCCCAGAGATCTCCTCCTAGATCTGAACGACGCCTCTGACACAGGACTGGGAGAGCGGCGTGCAGGTCTGACAGTCTCCAGATCATCTAGAGTGAGTTTTGGAATACGCCATCTTGGCCTATACTGGTCAGTGATTCTAGGAAGGGGCATGACGTAGAACTGTTCCCATCTGGACAAACGAATACGTTTCTGTCTCTTCTGCACAATCCTCTCCATCCTCTCTGAAATCTCATATTGATCTCTCAGCTTTCTGTACCACTTCATATCTGACAGAGGTACAAACTGTTTGATACCTTTGTTCTCATCAAGAACTCTGGGATCATGAACCACAGGCTCAGGAATTTCATAGGGCATGAAGATCTTCCTCTCCTCCTCCAACTTCTTGGTCTCTGACTTCTCCTCTTTGATGTCAAACTCCCCCTCGACATTCTTCGTGCTCACTGCTGGCTTGTAAATCTCTGCAGCATATTTGAGAGCTTCTTGAGCAGTGGGATTAAGCGGTACAAGCTCCTCAGTAGCAACGATTTTCTGAGCCATCTTGTTGGTCTTATCAATTTGTTTCTGTATGTGCATGTATTTCTCTTCCTCACTCCTATATTCTCTCCTTGTATAGGTAAGGCGGTCCACCTTCAATGTTGCCTGACAGCTGGCGGTGCCAGCAGAGTTGGTTGCAGTAACTTTGTAAACACCACAGTCCTCAAGTAGAGTCTCTCTAATGTGAAGGACATGAGAGTCAACGTCCTCCTGTATGACAACCACCTTGTGACCAAACTGTAGTGGATGACCATCCTTTTCCCATTTAAGAGTAGGAGGTGGTACACCTGAGACTCTGAGCTCAAAGCGGACACTCTGTCCCTCCATGCACTCAACATTAGCCAGCAGGCGTTTGAACATGGGCCTCATAGTTTCTTCCGTCACAGGATGTGGTGCCACAGTGAGACGGGCCTTGCAGCTGTCTTCTCCAAACTTGTTGTGGGCCATAACAGTGTATTCAGCATCATCAGTCATGTCCAGGTTATGGATCATGAGCTGGTATAGACCCTTATCACTGGTGAAGGTGTACTTGCTGTCATTATCACCTGGCTTGATTTTTTCACCATTCTTAAGCCAAATTATGCAAGGCTCTGGATGCACAGTAACAGTAACACCAAAGCGCACATCTTCGCCAATGAAAGCGGTGCGGTTGTAGAGAGGCAAAGTGAACTCTGGTGGTCTCTGCAGAAGCTTAGTCTTGTCAACTCTCCTCCTTAATTTCCTGATGGAGCGGCTAAGATAGTACTCTTTGATACTCCTCACTGTCTCGACAAAAAGCTCTCCATAAGCACTGTCTTCTCCATCATCACTCAGCACTTTGCATCTGTACACACCATCATCACTTTCTTCAATGTCCTTTACGTAGATACTGGCAAAGCCATTACTATAAGTAATCTCATACTTGTGGCTTGTGTGTAGCTGGCAGTTACCAAAGTACCATGACACCTGTGTACTCTTGTCATACTTGGCAATGCAGCAAGTGAATCTTGCATAACCACCTTCTTCAGCTGAGGCATGCATGACTGGGCCAGCACGGAAGCCATGGCACTCAGTTCCAATCTTCACTTTACCAACATCCAATCCCCTCTGGTTCTTGAAAGCACCACCATAGGCCACACGAGCTGCTGATACAATAGTATCAACCCTCTTTACCAGAGTCTGATAGTACCTTCTGTGTCTCAGCGTCCTGATAGCCTTGTTGCTAATATGCTCTATTTTCATCTTGAGCCATGGGTGCTCCAGAGCCTCATGGGCTGTCATACGAAGCTTCCTGTCCTTGACTAGAAGTCTGTCCACAAAGTCCATAGCCTCCAGGCTGATATCCTTAAATGCTTCACTGTCGAAGACATACTCACAGTTGATGATATTCTCAATCATCTTTGTGGTAGACTCTGCTGCAAATGGATTAAGGCCACTGAGTAGAACATAGGCCATAACACCAACAGACCACATATCTGTGGCCGTTGTGACCAAATCATGGCGGTGGACCTCTGGGGCGTAGTACTCCGGTGCTGAAAAGAGCATTCTGATGTTTTCTCCCGGCACCAGAAGCCTAGCCTGGCCCATCTCAATGATCTTTATGTTGGTACTTTTCCTTGTAGTGTACACAATGTTGTCTGGGCGGATATCAAAGTGGCCAAAGTTGTGGGAATGCAGGAACTTGAGAGAAGAGCAGACTTGTCTAAGGTACTTGACAATCTCCTGCTCTGTAAGCTCAAAGTTGCTGGTGCCAAGCCGCTCAAAGATGTCAACTCCAGAAATGAACTCAAAGATAAGGATGATCTCCTCCATGCTTTCAAAGTATTCATGCAAGTAGAGGATATTCTTGTGCCTTCCCATATTAAGAGCTTCAATTTCCCTTAAAACCAACTCACGATCAGTTCCTTTGACTTTGATAAACTTGGCCATGTAGGTTTTCTTTGTGGCAATCTCAATACAACGGTGAACCACACCAAACTGGCAGTGAGCAAGCTCCTCAGAGATAATGTACTTTGAGGACAGCTCCTTCACCTTGTAGAAAAGAGCCTCCTCTTTAGTAATTTCTCTTGTTTCGTCCACTTCCTCATCATAGTTCCTAATTACAGACTTGTCTTCCTTTGTGGTGATAGGCTCAGTTGGTTCACATGGTGGGCTCAGACCAAACTGGTTCTCGGCAATAACACGGAACTGGTATTTGGCCTTTCCAAATATGTTGATGATAGTGATACTACAGTCAGTAGTTTGTCCAGCACGAATCCACCTATCACTGGTGGTGGGGCACTTCTCCACAATGTAGCTAATAATGTTGCTTCCACCATCACTGGCAGGGGGCTCCCAGACAAGAGTGATAGAATCCCTTGCAATTTCACTAACCACAAGGCCTTTTGGAGCTTCAGGAATGTCAGCCACATTCACCTCGATGGTTTGCTTGTCCGTTCCAAACCTGTTCTTTGCAGTAATAATGTAGTAGCCAGTATCTTTCCTCTGGACTCCCTTCTGGAATACCAGGGATGTGAAAGACCTTGTGGTGATGACTTGGTGATAAGGAGAGTTGGAGAGGATCTCCTGACCTTTCTGCCAAGTGATTGTTGGCTCAGGTTTGCCAGAGATGGGGATCTTGATGGTGATGTGATCACCACGGACAGCATGGACTGCGCCCATTCCTTGGAGCTCTTGAGGCAGATGGATCTTAGCAGGAACTACAATAAAAATGACCAAAATCATGACTTATTCTCATGAATGTGGGCTTTTTTTTTAAATCAGGAATTAGAAAGAAGATATCATGCATTTAGTGCATTCTAGAAAATATTTGGAAATTATGATATTACCTTCCACCTCCAAGTTGGCTGTGGTAGAGATGGATCCTGAGGAATTGGTTGCTCTGAATTGGTAAACTGTGGCATCATTCTCATCAGCAGAAGTGATGACAAGCTGATAGTAGCCTCCCTTGAACTCCAGCGCTTTGATCTTAGTTCCATCTGCCAGGATCTCCTTTCCACCACGGTACCATTTCACAACAGGCTTTGGATGGCCCAACACCTTGTTGGAGGAAAAAGAGACAAAATAAATAACTGGTGTCCACTGAACAATGATGTTATGATTGTATTTTTGACTTAAAAACTGAGAGATTTTAAAGGAATAAGCAATGTAGCTTTTAAAAAAGTACCTTAGTGACAAATGTTGCACTGGCATGGTATTTGACAGTCATGTCTCTGATCTCCTCCCTGAATGTGGGAGCGCGAGGAGGCTGGTCAGACTTGGGGATGATGGGTTGAGAAATCTCACTCCATTCGCTCTCACCACCCATGTTCTCACATTTGACACGGAACTCATACTCAAAGCCTTCAATCAAGGCTGTGACCTCATAGTTGGTCTCTGCAATCTTCTTGGTAGTTACTGACATCCACTTGTTCTGTTTCTTCTCACGTTTCTCCAGGTAGTAGTTTGTGATTTTAGCTCCACCATCGCTGCTTGGAGGCTTCCAACAGACAACACAAGAGTCCTTTGTGGAGCTGATAATGAAAGGCTGCTGTGGGATGCCAGGTTTTTCTGAAAAACAAATAGGAAAGTTACTATAGTGCAGAAGTCCCATATTCTGTGCAGTGGCAGATCTTGAAAACTAAATACGCTCCTTAAAAAATGAACACATTTAAGTTTCTAGATGGTACTCTATAACTTATGCAAATAGGAGACGGTCGAGTAGAAGCTGTGGTTGATTTGAGACAGAATAAGCCATCTGTGAAGAGGACACCAAAATAAAATATAAATAAACTTACCAAATGGACTCTTGATTATAACCACTGATGGGATCTCTAGAGGCTCGCTGACTCCATATTGATTCTGAGCTGAAACCCTGAAGTAGTAGCCAGCATTCTCCGTCAGATTGAGGACACGGCAGGTGGTTCCAGACAAAGAGGAGGACACCAAGTGCCACTGTTCCCCTTCTTTGGCCTCCCGTTTCTCCACAATGTAGTTGGTAATCATTGATCCTCCATCATCCTTGGGAGCCTTCCAGCTGATGACAACTGAGCTCTTAAGCAGGGCGTCAACAATTAGGGGCCCCTCAGGCATGCATGGCTTGTCTAGAAACACACACAAGCATATATATATGAAAGATTTGTAGACTGAAACTGAAAACTCATGCAAAAGGCTTTCATTTGTAACTTTGATTTTAAATTTATGGATAGATGGATGGATGGATGTGGAGCCCTTAAGCAATTTGTTTATAGTTTGATCTCACCTTGGATTTCTACACGAAGCACAGTGTCAATAGTTCCAAAGAAATTGCTGAGCTGCACCTTATAGCGACCAGCGTTGGTCTTTCTCTGAACATTCCTCACCACGAGGTGGGTGTAGCTCTCTGTGTTTTCAATGATCACATTTTCAGATGGATTCAGAGGCTTCTTGCCGTAGAACCACATGATCTGTGGGATGGGACGGCCAATGTATACGACATGAAGGCGGAGACTGGTGCCAGCCCCAGCAAAGTATTTTTCCTTCAGGGGGAAGCCAGGGTGGAACTGGGGAGCTGCCTGTAAACGCAGTTTACCACTGCTCTCGATCTCTCCAGCCTCATTGATTGCCCTACAGGTGTACAGGCCCTCATCTTCCTGTTCGTCTGTTAGAATGCTGAGGGAGTGGTTTCGACCATCTGAGCTCATTTTGTACTTGCGGCTCTGGATCAGTTCCCTGCCAAAGCGGTACCACTTAATCTCAGGCAGAGGTCTGCCAATAATGCCACAGGTCAGAGTGCCAGACTCGCCAAGTTTGGTTGTTACATCTTGGATGTCTTCTGTCAAAGCTGGAGCCTCACCAACTGCAGAAAGACAGCAATGTTTAATCACACTAAATGTATTTAATTTTTACTTTCTGTTGTAAATTGAAAGGAATTACAAATAAATTGGTTGTCTTTCCCTTTAAACATTAGGTTTTACACGATTTTGACTTTAACATTAAATCTTGGTCAAAATTTGGTTCTAAGATATATTTTTCTGTTGTCAGTTAAGTAACATTTGTATTGAACTTGCCAGATATGTTATACATTGAATGTCAAATTCTACTGCGACGAGGCCATTTGTTTTGATAGACCTCAATCCTGCAACAGCTTACCACTCAATTTGGTCTTGATGCCCATAGGTGTGCGACGAGGTCGGCTGAGTCCAGTCTCGTTCTCAGCAAAGATTCTAAACTCATACTCAGTGGCTTCCATTAAGCCACCCATGGTGAACTGACGATCCTTCGAGCGCTCCTTATTGCATTTTTTCCAGGCACTCTCTCCAGCCTGCCTGAACTCAATCCAGTAACCTAGGATCTCCTTGCCACCATCATGCTCAGGCCTGAGCCAGTGGATGGTGATACAGTCTTTAGCGACAGAGACAATGTCAATCTCTCCTGGTTGGCTAGGTTTGTCTACAGGAAAACAGAAAGGAAAAGGGTCAACAATCTTGGATAAATTCATTCTAACATCAATTTAAGTATTTTAGAATGTATGAGATGGGTTTCCCTTATCAGCACAGACTGATTTAGATTGATTGCAATGAGTTGGCAATCTGTCTGCATTTATAAATTAGATAGCAGTTATTTGCAAAATTTCATCAGTATCTCTGAAAGTAACTGCAGTCACTCTGAGTTGGACTGTGACTGTTTGGAGGTGGTGTCACCTCCTACCAGGCGACCTGTGCAATCACCTTGCAGTTGGTTGAGGGTGTTGCACGTTCAATCTCTGAGTGACTAGTCACCGTTACTACATGCAAATGGTTGACAAATGCCAGTAACTTAAAAATTAACAGTCACTAAGTAAAGGAAGAGTTGCAAGGAGGTTGTTGCCCTATTTGTACTCTAGTGTGACTGAGCCATAACTCACCAAATGGATCTTTGCAGACTACAGATTCAGAAGCAGGACCTGGTTCGCTCTGTCCAATGTCATTTTGTGCGACAACTCTGAATATGTACTCTGCATCAGGGATGAGACCAGTGGCATTGAACATGGTGGTGGTGATGTGGGTCTTGTTGTGGCGGACCCACTTCTCTGTTGAAACCTCCCTTCTTTCAATATAATATCCAGTGACACGAGAGCCTCCATCGTCGCGGGGCCTGGCCCAGGAGAGAGAAACTGTGGACTTGGAAACATCCATGATCTCTGGTGGGTTGCTGGGAGGTTCAGGTGGGCCTGTGATAAAGGATGGTTTTACAAATTAAATTATCAGAGTTACAGTATGTTCAGAACGTATGATTATCACAACAATAGGTTTATTAAATACAAAATTTTCCCAGTTCGACTGAGAAAGTTGGACTAATAACAAATATATCACTACTCACAAAGTGGAGTCTTTGGTGTGACAGCCTCTTCAGATTTTAAAGCTCTGCTGACACCAAACTGATTCTCAGCAGCAACCCTGAAGTGGTACTCCACATTCTCCTTTAGGCCCTTCACCACTAGAGAGTTCCCAATTACTCGAGCATCCACTGTATACCAGGCAGCCTTGGGTACCTCCCGCCTTTCCACTATGTATCCCAGGATGTCTGCACCACCGTCATCTGATGGTGGCCTCCAACTGACTCTTACTGATCGGGCCTGAATGTCGTCAAATTCCAGAGGCCCTTCTGGGACATCTGGGCGACCAATCACTTTCACCTACAGAGAGGAGGTACAGAGAGTTTGTTTTTAAGGCTGCAAATATTATTAGATTTTATACAATATATGTTTTCATTTCATTAGCCATTCTTTAATAAAGTCTTTCAGACACGCTCCCCACCTTGATATAAACAGCCTTCCTGCCACATTTGTTTTCCAGCACCAAGTCGTAGGTACCAGTGTCATCTTTATGCGCCTCTTTGATGACCAGCTCAGTGATGTCATCATGGGTAGCAATCATGGCCCGATGGGAGATGTCATGACCATCCTTGGTCCACTTGCATGTAGGGATGGGTTTACCCTTAATGGGTACAGACAGGCGGATGACACCACCTTGTCTGACCACATAGCCCTCTTCATATTTATGATCCAGCTCATAGTCAGGATAATCTGAAGAAGACAGAGGTTTGATTTTTTTTTTAACTAAAGCTAAAAATGCCAGGATGCTATGTGCCATGCCACCAAAAAACTGAAGTAAAGGATTTATAAACGTTTCAAATTCTTTCTTTACCAAGCATCTCCTGGACTTTAACCACTCCAGGAATCTCAGCAGCTTCTCCACAACCACCAGCATTGCAGGCGATGATCCTAAATTTGTATTCAGCCCCCTGTGGCATGTGGGTGATGATGTACTCGCACATCTTCGTGGGAGTTGTGTTACACAGTGTCCATTCCAGCTGGTCTACCTTCTGCATTTCAATAAAGTAGCCAGTAATGACAGAACCACCCTCCTCTTCTGGTGGAAGCCAAGCTAGAGAAACAGAAGTCCTGGTAGTGTCTGTGACTCTGGCCTGAACTGGAGGACCTGGAGGTTCTGTTTAATAACAGAGAGAATAGGTAAAGATAGTGACCCCACAGTGGTATGGCTAATTTAAAACAGAAAAGCAGTACAACTGTTACAGTGATCTTTTGCGGGACATACCAATGGGGTCTAAAGCGATGGTAATGGCAGAACTCTCGCTGGGTTTCCCAGCCCCTCTAGAGTTAATGGCTGTGATACGGTGTTCATACTCCAGGCCCTCAATCAGTCCGGAGGAACGATACCTGGTCATAGTAACAGGGTTTTTGTTGATCCTCATCCACCTGTCAGAATGGGCCTCTTTCCGTTCTATGATATAGCCCGCAATAGTGGAGCCACCATTGTCCTCAGGTGGTTTCCAGGTCAGGGTCATGCCCTCATGGGTGACATCAAGCACTTCTGGCCTGCTTGGGGGTCCGGGGATGGCTACATAGAAAAAAACAATCAGAGATGAATAACAAACAAGACATAGTACCATAGTACGATGTTTTCAGGCCCCTCTTCTGTGGAACCAGCTTCCAGTTTGGATTCGGGAGACAGACACTATCTCTACTTTTAAGATTAGGCTTAAAACTTTCCTTTTTG